GGCTTCTTTGTCTCAGCAACCAACCAAGCACACATTTATAGGCTCATCCCTTTTGAAAATACAGGTTTCCTTGTATCTTAGCTCTTCTTAAGCTCTAATAAGCCCTGTTTCAGTGGATATATGTACAATCTGTGTACAGTGTCCACTCATGGGCACTCAAAGAAATTGCTGAGCAGTCAGGTTAGAACAGATAAAAGGAAGTACTTCTTCACCCAAAGAGTGATTAACACATGGAATTCATTGCCACAGGAGGTGGTGGCGGCTATAAGCATGGACAGCTTCAAGAGGGAATTGGATAAACATATGGAGCAGGGGTCCATCAGTGGGTATTAGATAGGAACTCTCAGGCTGGGGCAAGTGATGCTCTGTATTCTTGGTGCTTGGGGGGCTACAGTGGGAGGGCTTGGAGTGTCCTGGCCCCACTGGTGGACCTCCTGATGGCCCCTGGTATTTTTGACCTTTGTGTGACTGGATGGGCCATTGGCCTGATCCAACAATGGCTTCTCTTATGTTCTTATGATTGTTCTTTATTAAATAATTCTCATGTTATATTCAACACGTACAGCTGAATGTATGACTGAAACCCCATGTTTATCCAGGTACTGGTCCCCAGTTTCATTTGTAAAGTGAATGCATGTTGATTCGTTCTCACAAACAGGTATACATATGCACAAGCAGGTTGTACAAACGTTCACTGTAACATTTGAAAGGTCTACAATGCGTCAGCTTTCTTTTGCTTTAGAACTGCTAGTTCTTGCAAATCTCAAAAGGAATGTTATTAAAAAATAGAACAGTTGCCTTGAAAACAGAAATGCAACTGGTCTGTTAATACTTGATAATTTGGATTATTTTAGAAATAGTTGTTGGCTGGATTTTTTGGTGTTAACCTTTTTTAAAAAAAAAATACAGCATCCTGAATATATACAAAGCTGAGTCAGACCATTGGTTCAGCTTGGTTAGTACTCTCTACTCTGACTGGCAGCTGCTTTGCAGGATCTCAGTCACAGAAAGGTCTTTTCCAGCATCTGCTGTCCAAAATCATTGAACTATAAATGTCAGGGGTTGATAGCTTCTGCATGCAAAGCATCTGTTCAGCTGTATTCCTTCCACTGGAAAAGCCGGGGTTTTGTTATAGAAAATATGAAACAGTTTTCTGGACATGTAATTCATAATAGTTTCTCAGTCTGTGAACACTTCTCCTGAACACCCAAAGTGTTTTGAATCCCTAATAATCAGTGCTTGACTTGAGCACTGGAGTAATCAGTTCCATAATTATATCCTTACATATTCATCAAAAGTCAACAACTTTACATTTCTAAAGAAAGTGTGCATAAAAGATGCACACAAAGGTTGGGGTTTTTTTACACTGAAATGTTTTTCAAATAAAAAGAGCACAGCCCATCCCCTTTGTGCTGTGCAATTGTGCGCATGGGAGTATACCATAATACAGCTCAATGGAGTTCTTTCATTCTCCTCTCTGCCACTGGTGTTGTACAAGTGGGCTGCAATGTTCCTGGCTGTTCCCTGGAATGGGATACACTTCCCATAATGACATCCTGTAGCCTCATGTCTTAAGTTTATCAGGGTTATTTTCTTTTGCAAGTTCAAAATTATCAGTGATGGTAAAGCAAATGTGTCGCTTCCATCAACCATTCTCCCTTATGCAGCTGTCCAGTAATGCCTAGTAAAAGAAACACTTTCTTATCTCCATTAGACTACATTGTTTGATGCTTGGGTGGTGTCTTCTTTCACAAGATGATGTTGGGGGGGAAGGCATGAGTTCTGGTGAATTCTAATGAGGCTCAGAATGTAACTCGGTGGAAAAAGCAAATTGAAAGTGCTGTGAGAGTTGTTCAAATGAATAGTACATGTAATGAAAGACTTTGAGAGATTTCAGATACCTGAAATGTGGTGAATTCTCAGTTGTTTCTTCCTCACAAATCTGTCTTGTCTTATCTGGATTGGCCTTGCTGTTCAATGGGAGACAGCAGAAGGTTATTGCCCCTCAATAACCCTCTCTCCAATCTGCAATGAGATTAGAAGAAAAAATGTTTGTGTTTCTTCCCTGTATATTTATTATCTGTTGAGAGTGGTGAATCCTTTGTCTCTAGGGTTGCCGGGTCCTACCTGGCTGCTGGCGGGGAGATCTAGACTCCGTTCTGGGATCGTACACATGCCATAATGACAGCACTTAGAAGTGACATTATTGCATCAGGGATGTTGGAGGGGATGCTCTAGTTTTTGGGCAAAACACTACGATTTTTTGCCTTCAAAACCATAGAATTTGCCCAAAAACTAGAGCATCACCCCCATCATCTCTGACATGATGACATCACTTCCAGGTGATGTCATCACATCTGGGACATTGCCTGGCAACGTCCCTATTTGGGGGTTGGGCTTCCCCTTCCAGCCAGCTGGCTAGTGGTGGATTGCAGCCCCCAAAAGCAGGGGAGCCCCTGCTGGGGGCTGGCAACCCTATTTGTCTCTATCCTCCTCTAGAGTGCAGCAACCTGCCTTCCAGGGAGTACAAGCAAAATGGTTTCCCCTGACTGGCAGGTATAACATCAGAGCAGAGAACTGAACAAGACCTCAGAAAGACCTCCCCAGACCAGTGAGGACAGTGAAATGATTAGTGGAAAGTGCAGGTTCTGTGTGCAGAAATAAATGTGGATGACACCTGTCTATATTTCTTATCGGAAGACGACTCTATCAGAATATTTTCTGAGTCACTCTCTCACCTCACTGCCCCTCCAGAATCTCTTCCCTTGATATATGAAAGTGAGAGAAGCAGAAAGAGAAGAGAAGGGGGGGGACATAAAGGATGGACCAATTTATATTTCAGGATCAGCCATAGTCATCAGTATTGCAGCACTTAAGCATATATGGTAAAAGTGAGCAAACCCGGGAAAACTGTTTGCTTGTATTTAGCTCCCCCCTTGCTTCCTAAGATCCCCTATTTCAGTAGAATTGCTGTTTTCTCACTGTTTCTTTTTTTAAAATCCCAAGTTTCAAATAAAACACTAAAGCAATAAAGAGATATCCTCTTCTTTATTCTTTGAACTTGATAGCATAGAATTAACTGGAGAGTCATTCAGTCGAGGGTTGTTTAGTCACTCTCTTCTTTAAAACAGGTTAAAAATAAGTTTGGGTTTTTTTAAAAAAGTGATTAATATTTGTTAACCATTAATTCAAACCCTCATTTAACCTACAATAAAATATTCTGATTAATAATAATAAGTTATCAAAACAGTTATAGACATTTTTTCAACTATTAAAATGAATTATTTCTATTAAGTAATATTTGAACAAACTTCATTTTTTAATATACTTCCATTGATTAATTCAAACCTCCATTAATGTTTTAAATAAAGATGGAAAGATGCAGATGAAATTTGGAGTAAAAGTTTCGAACTTGCTGGGAGTACTTTTTATTTCTGCTGCACCATTCACTTCACATCTTCTGGGTCCTTATTCTTGTCATGAGGGCAGTTTTCTCCAAGTGTCTCTTCTTCCTCCCATGATAAGTGTAAACTCAGGGAACGCAGCAAAGTTCATCCCCTGGTGTGGGGAGCCATTTCTATAAACTAAAATGTCTGAAGGGGGCCCCCAGCAAAACTGTACTTCAGCTTCGTATAGCTTAGTAGCAAAGAATTTGAGTTTTTTTCTTTTCTCCAGGGTTTCCGCTGATAGATCCAGTAAAAGGAGGACTTTCTGATCCTTATAAGTGAACCTTTTAGACAGGCTTCCTTTAAGATTCTATCCCTTGATCTAGGGTATACAAATTGGACCAAAACATCTCTAGGGTTCCCCCACCTAGCTATAGCTAAAGGTCCCAGCCGGTAAGCCCTCGCTACTGCTGGTGCAACTCCTTCCTCTAGGTTCAAGGTTTTAGCCAGCCATTATGAAATAAAGGCAGCAAGGTCTGTATTTTCTTCCGCTCCTTCCTCTATCCCATGGAATTTCGTGTTACCTCTAATGGTTTTCAAGTGCACTTATTCTATTAATTGTAGATTTTTCATAAAGTTGTAGGGTTCTTACCACTTCTTGCAGTGCCAAGCCCATTTCAGTAGCATTTTCAACTATTTTCTTTGGCCAGCTCGTTTAATTTAAGATGGACCAGCCGAAGGAGCTTGGCCACCGACTTTGTTAGAGATTGATGTAGTTCTTCTTGGAGCTCTAGCAGATCCTTTTTGTGCAAAGGTGCATCGTCTTCATAGGTCTCTGCATTCGCTTGTTTCGTTTCCATGGCCATCTTGGACTCACAATTATAATTTGGGCCCATTGGGTTGGCCGGGTTTCTGGGTGGAAAAAGCATTTTTACCATTGTGGTTTCTTTGGAGTTCGGTTTTGATTTATTTCCAGAAGATTTGCCCATAGTTGGAAGTAAATCTAGGCAGATGTCAGTGATTTTTAGTTGTTTTCATGGAGAAGGGTTTGGGACGTCATTCAAATTGTGTCCACCATCCTGTAGCAATGCTCCACCCCCTTCTCACTGTTTCGCACTGTTTCCAGCACAAGAACTCATGGTTCTGTGACCCTTTTCCTTGCCTGGTCATTTCAAGGGTTTGAGTAGTACAGACCAGATGAGCTGGTGGGTCTTCTGGTTGTCGCATTTGTCCATGGCTCCACTGATCCATGCTAGGAACTTCACCATCATCACAACCTCAATATCTGCATTGCAGTTTTAGGTGACTTTTGATACTGTTTCTGTCAGAAGATCCTTTTTCGGAGTAGGCAATTTGGGGTAAAAAACATAAGGTGAGGGAAAGCATTTATCACACCACTGCACCTTTCCCATGTCCTTTCACCCCCTGCTGACGTGACGTTTCTCGTCTCTTACTTGTGTATGCTAGCGTATTTCTCATTCCCAAGATGCTGCAGTATAATGGCTTAGATTCTACTTCAAATTTCCACAGATGGAAGGGATTTCTGTCCACAGAGCTCAGCTTCCCCATTCCCACTGCAGCCCAAAATGCTCCTTGAAAAGCTGCTCTGGGGGAATGGGGACCCGCCGGAATAACTCGGGGGCAGCTAAGGTCTCCTGCAAAAAGGGGAAATCAACAAAAATTACTCCCCTTCCATCCATGGAAACTTTAGGCAGAATCCAAGCCAACATTTGTAAATTTGGACACAGGAACCTTGACTAAGTGCCATGTTAAGGTGTGAAAGATGTACATTCTACAAAACAACAAATGCGACACAATTACCTTAACTCTATAGGGTGACTTAAAGGCTGCTGTAGCCATTCTAATGAGCTGAGTGTTCCTAAAGATTTTTTTGAAGTACTAAAATTTACACTCCCTGTATTTTAGTAGTTTCAGTTTCACAATATGATATCCTTTATTTTATTTTCCATACTTTTGCCAATTCATGATAGCTTCCTAGTAATGTTGGCTTTCTCTGCATGTGATTGATCTGCTGTTTATTCTGGTAGAAGTCAGTTTTTAGAGATGGTACAGTGTAAGATGTGAATGCATTAATAGTACTAATTATTTCCATCTTGGTTTCTGATAGAAGATCAGACGTAAAAATAATTTTCACCTTACATTGTTCAGGTTTGGTGACTGATGACAGCGTAGCGAAAGCCTTACATGTTCCAATGTTTTTTTTTTATAGAGAAACGATGAAGAGGCGGTAGTGGACAGGGGTGGAACACGCTCCATTCTCAAAACCCATTTTGAAAAAGAAGACTTGGAAGGTGAGAACTTGTTATTTCTTATTAATTTTTTAAATTTATTTAATTCAGTTTATATCCCACCCTTTATATCCCAGGCAGGCTCAGGGCGGCTTACATTAAAAAGTTAAAATACATTAAAACACAAATAAAATCATATACATAACAAATAAAGTACTGGTGGCGGTATAACATTGCATAGTGATCCCAGAAGGCCATGGTGGAGTTTCATATTACAATTTCATATTACAATATATTTTTTTGTTTCATATTACAATTTCCTTTGAATGAGTTGGCTTAATGTCATCTTCAAATATGTAGGCTAAGCCCTGTGTGAGTGGTGGAAATCATCTCCCAGTTGTCAAAACTTGCTAGTCTGCAAGGGGGAACATGGCTCAGCAACTGCTTGCTGTGCCAAGAGTGGCTGAAGATCTCTCTGTGTTGCTGTGAATCAATGGCAAGTGCATTTGTGATGTGGCAAGGGTTTGCCTTGAGTTGGGTACCAACTGGGTTGCTGAGAGGAAGGTGGAGGGAAGAGCACTGGCACTGACACTAGGAGCTGGCAAAACAAACCATAAGCTGAAGATGGTTTGTGGGCTGATTCCTGCTTTCCAGAACTCACAACAGTGGTCTTGTCTTACCTCTGAACCAGCCCAGTAGAGAAGAGGCCACTGTGAAACAGCAGGGTCTCCTTATCTCTGTTGGCTTTTTTGGTCTTGCTTGCACTACAGAGCTGGCAGGCTTGTGTGTCTCACTAGAAATAGTTGTGTTAAAACACTGTCGTGGAAATAAGGGCTTGTACACAGACTTGGCTGAATGAGAATGTAGATTTGACACTTGGAAGGGAGCTTATGGAGCAGAAAACGTCTCTGAAACTTGCCAGCAGCACACCAGTATGAATCTTTTTTGTGTGTTTAAAAAAGCCCCTTTCATTATCTTTATGGACTATTTCTGCACATACAATTTCCCAAGCCAGGTGCCCGTAGGCATATATTTGTATTTATACCCAATTAAACTTTATTTATATCACACAATGTTCTACATCATATTGGCATAGCTGCAAAACCAAATTGTTTTCTCTGACTAACAGGGCCCTACTACCCTGCACAACTGGTTCTGTAAATGTGTTGTTTTAATTTTATCTCTCTTTGTGTGTTTATCTTTTGTGGGTAAAAATAGAAGTACCATCAGGTAATGAACAATTCTTTGCCCAAAGCTCTTTTGTTTTCCCCTTGCGAAGTATGCTTTTAAGATTAGTTAAAGTCGAGAACTGTATAGATCATGCTGGACAGATTCCTTCCTCCCCGTCCCCATTTTCCCCAGCTTCTCTAGACAGAATCTACCCCTGTAGAAGGCAAAAGGTTGGGTTGCGCGCCATCTGAATTGTGATGTACTGTTTGTATTTTAATTAATTTGTAATTGTTTTTATAGTTATTATCTGTATTATGACGTGAACTGTCCTGAGCCTTGTGGTAGCAGGGTAGGGCGGGCTAAAAGATGAAGATACTAAATAAATAAAAATAATAAATTACAGTGCTTATAAGTTCAGTGTGCCTATTAACTATAACTAGGTTGCACAAGTAAAATATTGCAGTTTTCAGCCATGCTGACTTGTGTGTGTTTTATCAAGCCAGAGGAGTCTGATAATGTTATGTTCCAGAAGAAAAATCTGTCTTTTCCTTAAAGCGTAATTCCCTTGTGACAACTTTGTGAGGCGAGAGATCTAGAGACTATTTTTCTCTTGAATAATGGGGATGTTACTCTTTATGACATACAATACTTTCTGGAGGTTTGCACAGTTTCCTCAAGAAGAAAAATGGAATTGTCTGGGTATGGGGGGGGGGAAGAGAGAGAAATGAGCTTTGTATCTATTGGCTATAGCACATGAAGGTATTACCAATAAAATATGAAATTCTTTTCACACCCAATTTAAGTTTTCACAAGGAATGCCAGGCCAGGGACTTAAACTATGTGAGAATTTTTGTAATGAATGTAAAGCTTTTCTTTCAATGGGTTGAAAGCCAGTTTGGTGTAGTGGTTAAGTGAACGGATTATAATCTGGGAGAACCGGGTTTGATTCCCCACTCCTCCACTTACACCTGGCTGGATGACCTTGGGCAAGCCATAACTTTGGCACAGCTGTTCTTGAAAAAGAGCAGTTTCTGTCAAGAGTTCTCTCAGCCCCACCTACCTCACAGGGTGTCTGTTGTGGGGAGGGGAAGGGAAAAGAGTTTGTAAGGTGCTCTGAGTCTCCGAGTGAAGGGCAAGGTAATAAATCCAATCCTTCTTCTTCTGTTCTTCTTCTCTTCAGTTTGGTGTAGTGGTTAAGTGCGCGGACTCTAATCTGGGAGAACCGGGTTTGATTCCCCACTCCTCCACTTACACCTGGCTGGATGACCTTGGGCAAGCCATAACTTTGGCACAGCTGTTCTTGAAAAAGAGCAGTTTCTGTCAAGAGTTCTCTCAGCCCCACCTACCTCACAGGGTGTCTGTTGTGGGGAGGGGAAGGGAAAGGAGTTTGTAAGCCACTCTGAGACACCTTTGTGTTGTGAAGGGCGGGGTATAAATCCAATCTCCTCCTCCTCCTCCTTCTTGAACCCAGTCACCTTTTCCGTGGGTGAAAAAGGGATGAGGGAGGGTCACCTTTGACCACCAAAAAGTCTGTGCTGGGGTTCATGGGATCTTTATGAACAAAAGGCAGAGACAGGAGTTATTTTAAAAAGGGAACTTATGTAAGGATGTGTGAAAAAACTGGCTGGATCCAACCCATTGTCTGACACAGTTTTTTCATTTTTATTCAGGGCAGGCCCTGCATGTATAGCAGAGGTCCCCAGACTTTTTGAGCCTGCGGGCACCTTTGGAATTCTGACACAGAGTGGGAAGTGCAACCGCAAAATGGCTGCCATGGCAGGTGGAACCCAGCCACTAAAAGGTTGCTGCAGAGGAAGCCCAAATCCTGGGGAAAACAGGGTAATTTGAAAGTACACTGGAACACAGGAGTAAGAGGAGAATAAAACCAACACTGTGGTGGCAGCTGCAACTAAAACAATGTTATTTGAATATGTCCAGCCAATCAGTTCTCCAGTGGCCAGTTAGAAGCCCTGTTGGGCAAGTGACATGGCTCCACCCACTTTCTAGCAGCACTTGGTGTGCGCCAGGAAAGGTGTTGGTGGGTGTCATGGTGCCCACAGGTACCATGTTGGAGACCCCTGATGTATAATATCGAGCAAAATATGTACTGTGTAAATATGTATTGTTATTTAATCTTTTCCTTATTTATTCTATTACAAATATGAATCCATATCTGTCACAAATTCTTATCAGCTGTATGTGTCACTTGTCATAGTTAAAACGGTGGGATATGCATATTTTAAATCACGCATAAGGACAATGTTGAGAATGTATGGAATTAGTTCAGCATAACCTGTACCAATACCAATGTAGAGTCTTGTGAGCAAAAATTCTGCTTTGTGAGCTACTGGCATTAAAGTGTTGAGTGAGCAATTTGGCTACAACATAAATTAGTTTGCTCTGGAGCCATCCTTCCTGAGCTGAGACAAAAATGTGTGAATCAGAGGCTAGAAAACTGTGAGCTAGCTCACACTAACTCAGCTTAGAGGGAATACTGACCTGTACCACAAGATTTTAGTCTTGCCACTTGAAACATCTAAAGCGTTAACTTTTTATTGGACCATTTTGAACAGCATGAAGCCTTTCTGAAAGTAGAAGGTGAATTATCAACATGAAAGAGTTTGAGAAGCTGAAGTAGCATAGTAGCCAGAAGGATACGGTATGATCCAGGGATCTGCTCGTTCGTAGCTCATCTCAGTCACACACTCTGCCTCCATTCACAAATTACATGGATCCATAATTTAATTGAACTGCTGCGCCACCTGTGGTTAGATGGGGTCTGTCAAATCAGGTATGCCAGTCCATGGTATCAGCACCATGGTTTTTTCATTGGCAGCTCAGCTGGTATCCCAGCCTGCTTCGAGGCACAACATTTTTCATAGACGGAAGCTTTTGTGCTTTTATTTGGTGTTCTTGTGTAGATACCACTTGGACAGACATATCTGGTAGCTACTTCCAAATCTTCCATCCAGGCAGAACAGATGGTTGTTCAGATCAACAACATATTCCAGCAAAATGTTCAGGAGCTGTTTGTAAAGGTGCTTAAACCCGGTGAGCTGGTGAGGGATAGGATGCAGCCCTTTCTGATTTGCCTTTGCAAATGCAAAAAGCCGATACTGACAGGTAACTCTAGGCGAGGAAAGAAGTTCTCTGATGTTGTTGTAAGGAGTCAGGCAAATTCATGAAGTCTGAGCCTCTCCAAATACAATTCAGTCTAAATGTAGATATTTTAATGGTTTCTGTACTGGCTTCTTCCTTTGACACAGTGCTCAGTTTATTTTCAGCAAGCAGATCACAAAGACAGGGAACTGATCAAGGGAGTGCAACACTGTCAGTCAACACAAATAATAGGTCCCTATCTTGACTTGTCAGATCTCGAAAGCAGGGTTGGCCCTGGGTAATATTTGGATGGAATACCTCTGTGGAATACCAGGTTTGCTATGCAGAGGCAGGCAATAACAAACCACCTCTGAACGACTCTTGCCTTGAAAACCCTATGGGGTCGCTATAAGTCAACTTGACAGGACTTTGTATCACCATCATGAAAATGGCATTTTTGGTAAGGTAATGTTGCACATGTTACATGTTGAGTCTAGGGATGCTTGAACACCCAGGACTTTCTATCACCATCATGAAAATGGCCTTTTTGGTAAGGTAATGTTGTACATGTTACGTGTTGAGTCTAGGGATGCTTGAACACCCACCAGTTTACCTGTTGTCCTTTTTGCTGGTTGGAAACAGGGAGCTGATGTTTGGATGATCTGTTTGTTGACCCATTCATGGCCATTTGACAGGTTGCTTCACCATGTTCCTTCCTAACCATGCAGTACCGCACAGTTGACCTTTTGCACATGCACAGTCTGTTGCAGCTCAGTTGAGTTCTGCTACTCCCC